ATCCTCCGCTCCACACCCCACCCCACCCCCCTGCCCTGCCGTTAGGTACTTGTATAGTCCAGCATCCTGCAGATGCTACAAAGAAAATGTAATTTAAAACGAGAGCAGGGGTGCCTCGGTGGCTTAGTCATTAAGCGGCTGCCTTTGGCTCAAGTCATGGTACCAGAGTCCTGGGATCGAGCCCCACATCCGGCTCCCTGCTAGGCAGGAAGCCTGCTTCTCCCTCTCCTGCTTCCCTTGCTTGTGTTCGCTCTCTTGGTATGTCTCTGTCAAATAAAATCTTTAAAAAATAAAAACAAAATAGAGCATTCCTATAGAATGGTCTAGAATTTAGAAGTATTATATATTAAGTGCTGTCCATTTGCTTGCTATTCTTTTTCCCTTCATTAGAGAATTATGTCCAAGCTGTGGAGGAGTTCCAGGCTTGCTTAAACCTGCAGGAGCAGTACCTGGAAGCCCACGATCGGCTCCTTGCAGAGACCCACTACCAGCTGGGCTTGGCCTATGGGTACAACTCTCAGTATGACGAGGCAGTGGCACAGTTCAGCAAATCTATTGAAGTCATTGAGAAAAGAATGGGTGAGTGAGCGTCAGCTACTTGACGATAAGCTTGCCTGGCTCCAGTTCGACAGTATTAGAACAAAATGGATCCTTTGGTGGTAACTGTTACTGATCACTTCAGCCTGTTCTTTGTAGCTGTACTAAGTGAGCAGATGAAGGAGGCTGAAGGATCATCTACTGAATATGAGAAGGAAATTGAGGAGCTGAAGGAACTGCTACCTGAAATTAGAGAGAAGATAGAAGATGCAAAGGAGTCCCAGCGTAGTGGGAATGTAGCTGAATTGGCTCTGAAAGCAACTCTGGTTGGTTTGGTTTCCTTTTAAAGTTTTGATAATAGCATGTTCGATACTTTTGGAAGGCATCATGGTGTCGTGTTCTATTAGTCTAGGAACCATGATATGGTTTCCAGGGAGTTGGTGGTTAGAAGGAATGTGAGAATTTATCTAGTTTCCCTATCCAGTAGTATAATGCTTAAGAGAATACACTCTGGAGCCAGACTGGTTTTAAGTTCTGTATCTGCTACTTGTTATTGCGACCATGGGCGTGTTACTTAATGTTTCTTTGCCTTAGTTGACTCATCTATAAAACGGGGATAGTATCTGTATGTTAAAATACTTCTGACAGTACAAATGATATTTGCTTAACAAATGTAAGCTATTACTCTCATCTCTGAGAACTCCTCTATATAGATAGCAAGATACTGAGTGGCTGCTGGAATGTCAGGGAGCTTTCTACGCCACAGGTGATAAGATATGGATGGGTTAATTTCATATTTACACTGTGCCTAAGCCCCCGGTTTGGGGGTGGCAGGTGCAGGTAGAGGGGGTGGATGATACTGCTGGTATGTGGAGGCCCACTAGTATTTGAGGTCTTGGTCAGTTGTTTGGATGGTAGGCAGCTGTTGTAGGTATGTAGGTGACCTGGTGGGTTCTGTCTTGGGACCCACTTGGGTCTGTCACCTCCCGCACAGGTGGAGAGCTCTACTTCAGGTTTCACTCCTAGTGGAGGAGGCACTTCAGTCTCCATGGTAAGTATTCAAGAGATTTTTGTCACTTAGTATTAGGCCTGTGTGTGTCCTGCGTAGTCATACATTGCTAACAGAGTCCTTTTTGTCAAGGTTGCCAGTAGAAAACCAGCAGATGGTGCTTCCTCATCAAATTGTGTGACTGATATCTCCCACCTTGTCAGAAAGAAGGTAAATCTACATGTGGTCATTTCTATTTTCTTTCCAGTCTGCTTTTTGTTGTTTTGTTGTTGTTGTTGTTTTGTTTTCCCTCAAATGACACACCAGGTATACATTCCCTAATATTTGGTGAATAAGACATTTCATTTGGCAAAGTTGGTGAGGATTTGAATGAAGGTAGTTTTCACTTGAGTATGTTTTCTAACTGTTTTCCAGGCCTCTTTTGGCCCAGGACTGTCAGGAAAGCTTCTGAGAATTGGTTAGATGAGCTCTTCTTGGGAAGCTGGCAGGTTTTCCTTGATAGTAGTTGTTCAGCAGCAGACCTGCTGATACTTAAACTCTTGTGGCATCCCATCTTCTGCCTATAATTACAGTCGTTTTTTCCTCTTGTGGGAGACTATTTCCTTATTCACAAACTTGGGGTTTGGTTACTATTCAGATCTACTCCTCACCCTTCCCCTAGAGAGGCTAGACTGGTATGTTGTGGCTGACCAGTTTATTGTACTGAGCACAGGTTGGCGTCTACTTCCTGTGGCCAAGGGCGAGACCTTGAGAGGCATGGATCCTGATGTCGGGATCTTTGCACCATGTGGCAGCAGAGGGGGAGGAGAGGAGTGAAGGGCTTTTAAAGTTTTGCAGTACTTTGAAAAAACTCGGCACATTTGTGAAGCCTTCCCAATTTCTATCTTCAGAGGAAACCAGAGGAAGAGAGTCCCCGAAAAGATGATGCAAAGAAAGCCAAACAAGAGCTGGAGGTGAATGGAGGCAGTGGGGATGCCGTCTCCAGTGGAAATGAAGTTTCAGAAAACATGGAGGACGAGGTGGGCAGTTAAGCGGGCTTGGACTCTTGGCTTATTTCCCCTTGTTCTCAGGGCCTGGGAAACTAGTCGTCCTAAGTGCATGTTCCTCACCTTGAGCCTGTTTGGATTACTTGAATGCAACCCTCATAGAAACAGTGTGCAGGAAACTGGTTTTGGAATGTGGGATGTCTCACTGACGAATGGAAGCTATATACATACCACAGGTCCTGCTCTAACGAATGTATGAGAAGGCACTTAATTGGGAAGACCGTTGGGTTATTTCTGCTTGCTCCCTTTCCAAGTGATGCGTGAACATTGGTTCTGTCAGCCCTGTTAGACTTTCGGAAATGGCCTTACATTTTGTGGTAATCATCCTGTTAGGAGTGTAGGGAGCAAGGCAGGCTTTAGGAGACCTGTTCACTTTCTCTGCCTACTCGATTGTATAAGACAGAAGGGCTGAAACAAGGCTCATTTATGCCCAGGCTCCCTATTTATCTTCCAGGCTGAGAATCAGGCTGAAAGCCGGGCAGCAGTGGAGGGGACAGTGGAGGCCGGAGCTACAGTTGAAAGCACTGCATGTTAAAGAGAGGGCGCAGAGCCTTCCTCCTGAGGGAAAGTTTTTGTATATAATGTATTTTTTCACTTTGGGGGGATTCTTTTTGTATAACTTCAATAAAGATTGTAAGCAAAGGTTGAGGCTTTGATGATTTTTTTCTTAAATACTGGCTGACTCTGTGCCTTGGAGCATTCTGGGTCAAAGGTACTCACCCTACCCCTTTCTGTACTGATCTCTGTTGGGAGTTCCCATCCAAGCTCCTGTCTAATATGGAGGTGATCAAATCATGCACAGCCATTGGCCCTTTGTTTTCTAGTGGTGCTACATTTTTCCCATTTTAAATACTGAACTCCATTGTCTTACAAGCCTTCAGTGGTGCTGTCTCTTGATGGGGGCTACAGAAACAAGACTTGGTAAAGATCTTGCTGTTTCGTGCTGATACCATTCGGTGGACTTCATGAGCTGATAACTGCCTGAGCCAGGCCTTAAGTGCTAACTGTTCCCACCTAGTTCCAGTTGAGGGTCAGTAATTCTGGAAAAAGAACTCTTGAAGAAAACTTGTGCAGGTGGGAGGGGGGAGTGATTGTTGAGGAAGACTGGTGTGCTAACTGTAGAGAATTGAGTTTTCTGGTTTGAAAGTGGCTTAAGAGAGAGACTGGACACTTTGGATGTGGTTAGAAGAATTTGTGGGGAGGCTGGCTGGTGGAGTTTTGCTTTCCGTACAGAAAGGCTGAAATATAACTTGAATCCAAATTGTTACCCATCTGCAGTTTTGACTTCTCAAATAAAGATGCTAAAAAATGCTCCTGGTCTGGACTTGTGTTTAAAGATCTTTCAGTGGGATCCCGAACTACCTGAAGCATTTCAGTGTGGGATGTGGGGTTGAAAGGCAGAAATGCCCACCAGTTCTGGCTGCGTAGTCAGGGTGCTGGTGCTCAGGACACTTGCACTAAAGCCATCCCACAGGGACCTCACTGATGGACAGAGTGCGCCCTAAGTGCTGCTTGAGCTGCCTCAGCCTTGACCCTTAGTTAAGTTACTGTTTGGGTCTGAATTCCAAACTGAGTCTGGCCTACATGACCTCAAGGGATTTGGTAATTCTGACCACTCAGAGGGCTACTTCGCTGCACTAGGTAGACAGTAGTAGGTCAGAATCTGCCGTTTTGAATAGCCAATGTCAGGCCATTTTCCAGTTGATATATTGTTTCCTAAATAGATAGCAGAGAAAATGGTTGGAATTTTTCTGGGCTGGTTATGGTAACTCATGGCTGTAGGACCTTGGGCTTTGAACTTCCTGAAGATAGATGCCCTAGATGCTAAAGTCCTAAGATTTTAGGCCTTTGATTAAAAGGTTGGCACTGGGTTCTGGCACTGGGACCCAATATCAAATTTCAGCCAGATTTTACACGTGACCCTCGATAATTGTGGAAGGTATGGGAGTTCCTAGTTCAGTGGGGACCTTTATAGTCTGGAAAGGCTTCCCAGAGGATGTCCTGAACAAAGTGTGGCAACAAGATGGGCTTTAGCCCCCCTCCCCCAAAAAAGAAATTGATGATGTTCCCTTTACAAATTAAAGAGTGCCCCCTGCTTTTAAAGAATTCATATTCCAGGCAATACTGAAAATACCCAATATCCATTTAATCCTCACATCCATTTTATAAGAGAAAACTAATAAAGGCCAAGTATTTGTGGAAGGTGGCAAAGCTATGGTTGGATCTCCTATCTTGAGCTTGTATCTGGTGTTTGCTTCTAGACCCTCTGAGAACATGGAGTAGTAAAGCTGCAGGTCTGGCAACAAGTCCTAGTTCTGAGCCTCTTAAGCTACTCATGCCCACCCACATTCTCCTAGACTCAGGAAGCCGGCGGTGGCGGTCAAAACCGTGATGAGGGCCCAAACCATCTATCCTTGACTCTGCTGCTGAGGGGGCTCTTCAGGAGGAGGGGGGTCAACAAAGCCAGCTTTTGGGGCAAGGAAGCTTGCTTCCAGTGAAGGTGAGCTGGACATCTGTGGAACAGGGAGAAGTGTATCTTTAGCAAGTGGTTTATATCTTAACTACCTAAGGTAAACCAAGTCAGCCTCACTGGTCAGCTCTGATTTCCTCATCTGTTTACATAGTCTGCCTAACACATGTATGATAGTTAAAGGAGTTAATTCACAGAAATAGCTTGGAACATGCTGGCAGTTGACCACGCCAGTCACACTGCGGTATCCCTAGTGCTAGGTGAGCCCTCACCGGAGGTGGGTACTGGTACTCTTGGGCACTTGCGGGATTGATCTCTGCCAGTGTCTGGACACCTGCGTCTCTTGCATTAACCAGTCGCAGAAAGAGCTCAGCCTGACCTACCTGGAGAGAGATGACATGGTACTGCGTCTGTACCTGGAGGGGAGGAGATCCAGTCCCTGTCCTCCACACTTACCTGGGGAATCCCATTCAGCTGCCCAAGGCTAAGGCTGGGGTCCAGAGGAAGGGCCCGAAGTGGAAGGCGCCAACGGCCACTTAACACCCTTTGCTCCCGGTCAAATAGCACTAGTGAGGCCCAAGCCTTTGGCTGTGGTTCCCTAGTCCATGCCAGCCCCTGCCAGGCCTGTAGCTCACAGACCAGGGATACTGATGCTGAAGGTGGCAGCCTAGAACAACCAACACAAGATGTCAGAAGCCAGAACTATTCTTTCCTTGGACAGCTCTCAGCCAGTGGCCCTGTATATAGATGGGGAAACTCAGCAGGAGGGGGGAAAAGATTCAATTGTGACAAAAAGCATCAAAAGTCAATCTCCAACTACTGACCTGGGTACAGGCTGCCTGCTGGCAAGGATGGCACAATTGCCCACGGGCCCAGGAGCTGGAGGTGGGGGCAAGCAAAGGGCTGGGGGCAATGCCGTGGCTCCTCCTGTGTCCTGTCCATCTCGGGTCAAGCCAGTCATTAGTTGCACCCAAATCCAAGAGGCCTCAAGGCCCCGAAGGAAGTCATAGAAAATGACCAGCCCAGCCCTGAAGAACACAGGTTTCAGCTGCCATCTATACAACCCCCAACTCCTCTGAACCCTATCCCCTCAGCCTTGCCCCTCACCCCATCAGTTCCCCAACCCTAGCTCTTCCTAGTGGGTCTGCTTAATCAGATGACGACCCAGTGATGACCAAGTCACAGAGAATGTCAAAGGAGGGAGCAGGCCTCACCCAGGGTCATAGGGTGCAGGGCCCAGAACGTCAGAGGCGGGCAGAAGGAAGTATGGATCCAGACCTAGGTTCTTGGTCATGGTTCCAGGAACCTGCAGCTGTAGGTGGGGGAAGAGTTGACTTGCGGAAAGCCTCCTTGGTGCCCATGCTTCCCCAACTACACAAAACAGAGCGGCCCTGGCCCCAGCCCCTGGGTCCTCACGGCCTCTCCTGTGCCACTCAATAGGATGCCTGTGGAGTGTGGAAGGGGCGGCAGCGGAGGAGCCACGAGCGGCGGGAGGCGCGGGGGATCTTCCCTCCTTCTCAGGCATGGGCTGAGATTCACCAAAGTTCGAGGCTCCGTAGGCCCTGGGACCAGAGTTAAGAGTAGGGCATCTCTGAGCAGGACGCGGCAAGAACAGGGCTGAGACAAACTTTCCCTGAGAGCCGGACCCACATGCACGGACACCTGGAGATGCACGAGGGCAGGAACGGACAGGACACAAACGCGCCTCATTTCCCATGCACGGCCCCTCTAACCCCTTCCTCTGCACTCAGCCTGCTGGGGAGAGCTAGGTGGTGTAGGACAAGGGTGCTCGCTGACCCCAGGACGCAGGGCCTGCACTCCTCTGCATCTGTAAGGCCAGGATTTCTGCCTCCAAGCGCCGGTTTTCGGTTTCCACTACTAGAAGCTCCCCCAGGGCGGCACCTGCCCCCTTTCCTGCAATGAAAAAGTCCGACCTGCCACCTCCAACCTCTGGTAACCAGCTGTGCAATTCTGAGAATTCCAGCTTTAGGTCTCTATGGACAAGGCCGGACTTGTCAGGTAACATTCTAGCCATTGCCACAAAGACCTCCCAGGTTTTCCACCTTCAGGTGGCCCCCCATGCCAAAGACGCCCCCACCCCCGCCCGCCAGTTCAACCGCCCTTTTCTCCTCCCAGAATTAAGACCACCGCTTCGGAGAGGCCCTCTTGTTCACCTCTGCGGGTCCGCAACCGCCGCAGCTCCAGTGCTGATGCCTCCACCTGCAACTGACAGATCTGGCCCAGAACGCCGGGGTTCCGGCCCCCGCCTCGAACGTAGGCCTCTCTCAGGGCCCTAGGGAGGGAGCAGGGGACAACAATGCAGCAGCGTCTTTCCAGGACTGATCAACGCTTCGCCCTTGCCGACCCGGGTCCGGGACCTCACCCGATCTCGGCAGCCAGAGTCCCTGGGTTGGCCCGTAGCACCGGACAACAGAGTTCTGCCTCTCGCAGGGCGCTGAGCCGGGCCCTGGGGCAGGGGTACACGCGCGCAGAGGTGTTGCGGATTCCGAGACCCGGCCTCCGGAAGCTCCGCCCCTTCCCTACCCAATGCCTGCGACCTTCCAGCTGCGTGGGCGCCTACGCCTCCCGCGTCCCGCCGCGGCTCCGCCCTCCGGTCAGGCTCCGCCCCTTCCTCCGGCCCCAGGCGGGTTCAGCTGAGCTTCGAATTCGCCCGCGCCGGGTCTCACCCGGCCTCTGGTTGTAGCTGCTGAACTTGCGCCCCTAGCACTTCTAGAGCTCCCCGCGTTCGCCCGGCTTCTGCCCGGAGTTCTCGAAGCTCCCGCTCCAGACCGAAAAGGCGTGATATTCCGCCCCGGGTCTGGGCCAAACCTTGGAGGCGTTGGCTCAGTTCTGAGGCGTTAAGGGACGGAGTCGCAATGGGTCGGACAAACTCAAAGCCAAGGGGTTGGGGCAGGGAGGGCCCGTTATCCCCCGTCGCTTTCCCTCACCCTCACTGCGTCTCTCCAGGGCCCGGCTCTGTGACTCCGTCTCCGCCACCTGCTTTGCGTGAGTCCCCTGCAGCGCCCGAAGCCGCTCGCTGGGGCTTCCAGCAGCTTCATGGGTGCTTCGAGTCTGCGCCTGGGTCTGGTTCCGGGGCCCTTCTAATCCCCTGGGGACCTCTGTTATCCAAGGTCGCATATCCTGTAGGTACAGCCGCAGTGTTCGGGGTAATCTGACCCGTGATCTGCGTGATCTGTAGATTTAGGGAGGATGCTAAATTTCCAAATGGGGAAAGTCTGGAGTACCTCTTCTGTTAGCTTCTTAAGAGCCAATTTGCTGGCCTGGTCTGGGAGGCCCTGGTGTTCTTGTGGCACTACCTGGCGACAGGACAGGGCGTGGGGTGAAGAAAACTGAGGCTCAGAGTTGCTTGAATACCCACCCATAAGGCCATGGAGGCAGCCCTTTTGAGAGGTGGGCTCCGGGTGTTACCTCTCGGGTCAGACGGCCAATGCAGAAACGCTGAGTGTGGGTGGCCAACAGCGTCCAGGAGCGGAAAACCATGTCACAGGACCCACAGGACAGGAGCCCCGGCTCCCCAGAATAGGAGGCCATGGGATGGGACCCCTTTCCTGACACGCCAGCCAAGACCTGCAAGAGACAGGACAGAGAGCAGGGGAAAGGGAGAGAAGGATGAAACAAAGCCAGAGGCAGAGAGAGGAAAGGCCAAGTTTGCTGAGTTTACATGATTAAGTTTGTTTGGGGAGGAGACTTAGCTCCCTGGGCAGCAACCACAGGTCTAGGCAGGTCCAGAGCAGGGGTGGGGAAAGGCTGATCACCTTTGGGAGGAGCCCCTGGCTTGAAAAAGCGTCACAAAGTCGCTCCACTGCATTACATGAGCATGTGCAAGTCCTTTGACCACATCTTGGTTTCTCTGCTGATGTAAAGGGGAACAAACAGCTGCATCCCAGACTAGCTGGGCCCCTCGCACATACTCCCCCCTCCCCATCACTGGTTATTCAACAGTCTCTGGCAGGGAAATATCATTTTGTTCATTCTTGTTCTGCCCAAGTGAACATTACCGAAGTTAAGTGTTCTCTGTTCTAGGGAACACCTGGGAGAGGAAGCCTTCTGCCCTTTTAGGCTTTGTCAGGAAACTTGTCTTTCCCCTAGGCTTGAAAAGCCTTCCCTTGTACTGCAGCCCTTGGGAAGCAACCACAGCTTTTGCATAACCAAAATCACACCAAGGCTGACAGTTTTTCCCTCACCCCATTCCTGTTTGGGGTTTTGTCTGGAGTGGGAAGATAATTAGCACAGCCCAAGGAATGAAAGTTCTGGGAGAACACAATCTATCAGATGAGATAATCAAATATAGAAAGGTAGCCCTTCATTCGAGACAGGGCAGGGGACTTTTGTGCTGATCGAATCTCTGCCACCTCCCCAAATACATGCATCACCAGCAGGAGCTCTGAGCCCCATGTTTCTCCCTTAAGGGAGAAACAAACTCCCTTTTCTAAACAAGGCAGGGACTTAGGGTAGCAGCCCTCTCACCATGTGAAGGCCAAGGTGTGATCAGCAACAGGTTACAAGTGTTTCAAAGCATGTGATCTCAGCCAGCTTAATTCCAAGCAAGAAAAAGGGCACATTTTTAGAAATTTGTTCTGTGAAAGCTAGTAAGTGGCAAAGCTCAATCCCAAACAGGCAGGGTATCTCTATCTCAACCAACTTCTTATTTCCAGTTTAATACTTTTGCAACTTAATTCATTTTATAGTATTTCACTAAGATGTACTCCCCCCCCCCCAACATTTTAACACTGAAATCGAGACCGACTCATACCTGGCAAGTTTTCTTTTTTTTTAAGATTTATTTATGAGAGAGAGTGAGAGAGAGAGAGAGAAAAGCGGACTCCTTGCTGCATAAGGAGCTAGACTAAGGCTTGATCCCACAACCCTGAGATCATGACCTGAGCCAAAATCAAGAGTCGGAAGCTTAACCAACTGAGCCACCCAGGGACCCGGCAAGTTTTCTTATTAGTACATAATGCTTCAAAAGATATATCCAATGAAATATGATACAGTTCTTATTGCTCTGTCTCAACCACCATTTCTACATGGACTGCTTGTAACCCCAGCAGAAGAGACTATGTAATTCAGTGTGGCAGATAGGGTTCCTTCCTAGCCTTCCTAGCCTTTAGAATCTAGCCAATGTCATGCTGGTTTCTCTGCCTCTAGCCTCTATCCTTTCTGGAGACACAAGTTAGTTCTCTAACATGCAGTCAGGGCTGTTACTCTGCTGGTTGTCTCCCACTAGAGGACAATCCTAGACCGCTATATCCACCAGGGACCATGCACTGTAGGGATGGCCACAGTGCCAGTGTCACTGCGTGCTTGCTTTAACTTCTACTTGTCTGTAAGATTTTGGCCCAAGGCTTCATTTTGAATATAATGGTTTATTCTCTTCCCTACTGGGCTGGGCATTCCCTGCACCCCCAGAGCCTTGCAAAATGCCTGGCTGTACGGGGAGAGCTGGGAAGTGTATGTTGAATGAAAAACTGTGTCTCTTCCACTGGTCACTGCTCAAACCCTTTCCCATGTTCCTGTTTAGCAGGAAAACTGAGGCACAGAACCTTCCTTGAAATATGCAAACTGGTAAATACCCAGGCAAATGAAAATCAGTTTCAGGAAGGAAACTTGGGTTTCTGATTTTATTACTGATAATTTATTGCACAAGTTTTTCTGCATCAAAAAAGTATCCGCTAAAAGGAGAAACAGTGGTGTTTGAATTTCAGATTTCCCTCAGACTTCTAGAAGTATTTCCCTCAAAGAATCCACTCATCTAACTTTAAAGGAAATATACTTCTTACACAAGACAATCCAAACTGATGCAAAATATTTATTCCAAGTTAGTTATTTTATGCAGTAGTTTTCCCCTTCAACAGACTTGTGATAACCACATCTTTTAAATCTGTAAATAATGTTATCAAAATAATCTTAATCTTTGAAATCTCACAAAAATTTATATTTTACAATCCACCCTGAATATCAAGGCTGCAAGAATAACACAACATTTCCTATATCCAAATATTTTACAGCTGTACCCAAAAAAAGGAAAAAAAAAGAAAGAAAAAAGAAAACCATGTATGCTTGGTTAAGGGCTAACGTTACCCGAGCAGCCAAAAATAAAATAAAATATCCAAATTATTAGCATTAATTTAATACAATTATAACTTCAATAGTCACTTTGTCATTGACAATGATTGCTTGAGCACAGGGGTGAGTGCCCCAAGGGCTGGTAGTAGAAGCTGTTGCTGCAGACCGGCGTCTCCTCTCTGCACTGCCAGCTCCCACTTGTGCGTCGCCCCATAGATACTGTGTCTGTGTGTGTGTGTATTTAAAAAATCTTTCCCATCACACAAACTTCTCTCTATTAAGCAGATAACAGGGAAGAACAACAAAAGCTAAACAAGCCAATTGCTCTCTCTTTGGGATATGATTATTTTCCCTTGTGCATGACGTATTCAACAACATAAGAAAAGGAAAAGAACGATTTCTTTTGTATACTCCCTAAACACACAAGCTGAGTTTACTGGGTCAGATTTGTGAGCATTTATATGCCTACTTCCAGGCATCGTCATCTGATGTTTCACTGCTACTGGTTTCCGTGTCCGAATCCTCAAACTCTGCTTTACGAGTGCTTCTCCAAGGGGAGAACAGGCTGGAACCACGGCTCTGCAAAAAGCCGTTCTTCCCAAAGCCATTTCTTCTCAGCTGTGGTTAGCAGGAAAAGAAAAAAGAAAACCGTCAAAAACTACACTGGCAGTGGGACCTGGAAAAGGCCGGTACTGAATTCAAGGCAGAATGTAGAAGGGGCCCTTCTGAGAGAGCCAGGATTTCTTTTTTCTTTTCTTTTCTTTTTTTTTTTTTTTTTAAAGACTTTATTTATTTGACAGAGAGAGACACAGTGAGAGAGGGAACATAAGCAGGGGGAGTGGGAGAGGGAGAAGCAGGCTCGGGTCCCAGGACCTGAGCTGAAGGCAGACGCATAATGACTAAGCCAGCCAGGTGCCCCCCACCCCAAGATTTGTTATAGCTGTGCTTTTCAAACTCACAGTGCAAATCAGTCATTTACAGATCTTTCTTAAGAATGCAGATTCTGATTCAGTAGGTAGGGTTTCAGATTCTCTATTTCTACAAGTTCTCAGGTGATAACAATTGAGAATAGTTTTGAGTAGCAGAGTCTTTATGTCAGCTCTAATTTCTCTTTACAGGCCTTAATCCTATTGTTATTTGTGCTTTAGATAAAAATCGGAGAAGTAAAAATGTAAAGAAAATATAAATACCACCAGAATGTAAGCCTCATGAAGTCTGTAACTCCATTTATCTTGTTCATTGCTATAAATCTCAAGGTCTGGCAGTGTTTCAGAGAAAGAAGCCAACCATTTGTTGGATAATTCAAAGAGGCTGTTTCTTGGCTCTGGCCAGAGAATATCAGAGGGAAACCACAGGGCTGGAGGCGGGGGTGGGGTGGGGTGGAGTGGGGTGGGGTGGGGTGGGGTGGGGTGGGGTGGGGTGGGGTGGGGTTGGGGGGGGACAGGCCTGCTTCTGCTTCCCTAGAGACCCAGGGCTCTGCCCATTACTCTGGAACACAGACTTGTGGTTCTGATAAGGGGGTAGAGCTGCCAGGATGAAAGAACATACTACTTTCTGGAATCTGCTAACTACTGACCTAGTTTTTATATCCATTACCGGAAATCCCTGTTGCCTAAGCAGTGATTCGCTCCTCTGTATTTCTACTATGGCAACTTACTTTATATTTTCTTTTCCAAGGTCCTGCTCTCACACTAAACTGAGGCTCTCTAAGGGCAATAAATGCCCTGTTCCTTTCTCTCCTAATCATTAACAGGTCTCCAGGAAAGGTTTATGACATACCTGTTCCGTCTTCATGTGGAACTCTCTGAGCTCATCCTCTGTGAGGGGGAGGCAATTCTCATCGTTTTCAGGATATTCCTGCCATCCCATTGCTTTCAATAACCTAGGAGAGGGAGGTCAGGCCAAGAAAATAGGAGACCTTTACGTGTTAAGTGGAAAGACCACAACTTTCCAGAAAAAACTTACTTGCCCAGGGGCAATCGTACCCCACTTGGGATTTTTCTTTTCTTCCCAGTGGGATAAGTTTTTTTAAAAATTAAATTTATTTACTTCAGAGAGAAAGAGAGCACGTGCACACAGAGCAGGAAGAGAGGAGGAGAGGGAGAGAATCCTCAAGCAGACTCCTTGCTGAGTGTGGAGCCTGACACAGCTCTACTCCAGGACCCCCACCCCTCCCCGGTGGGATAAGCTTTAATTATGGCTCCTTAGGTATTTGAATTAAATGAGGGATCTCCACAGTTGCTCTTTAGAGGGTATAAGAGCTACAGAGAGGAGATAAAAGCAGCAGAAATTAAGGCTACATAAGAGCCAAAATGTAAAGGGCTCTTTCTGACAAAACAAGAGGAAGAAATCTCACTTTATTTATTATTTTTTTTTAAAGATTTATTCATTTGACAGAGAGCGAGCACAAGCAAGGGGAATAGCAGGCAAAGGGAAATAGCAGGCAGAGGGGAAGGAAGAAGCAGACTCCCTGCTCAGCA